GAGGTTAAAAGGAACCTTTGACTTACATTCACTATCGAAAGAAGTACAATACGATTGGAAAACATTGACTTAAAGATAGAAAAAAAGACTTACAAAAATAAGGTCTAAACATTTTGAAGTCTAATGAACTTCCTAATAAGTTCACGAAACTCTAGCATGTTACGTATCGACCTTAGAATGATTCTTGCTCAGTCCTTTGCTCCAAGGGAGTTGTCTCTGCTCCTGGCTAGATTGTCTCTAATGTAGCGCAGAGTAGAGTTAGAGTACTTGTAGTTCTAGTTGTCTCGAAAAAATATCTTCTTTTGTTGCACGTTTTGAAACATCACTCCCACTTCTGGTTTCACCAATACAGTCCAAGAGGGGATGCTATTGATGCCCTGCAGATCTTCATTTGGTGCAGCGACAGTCAATTGATCCACTCCTAGATCTAGAGCTAGTTGGAAATCAAACTTGCATCTGAAGTCGAGCAGGTCTGTCACTGTTTGGCATATAGCAGAGTTGGCAACAGTGTAGTTGACCCCCTTGTCCTTCTTGTGATTCGTGAAGTAAAATAGAGAAATAAGATCCCATGGATTCAGATTAATAAGATCATAGTCTATGAACTTGCAGATCTGTCCAAGAGACCTCTCCACCATATACTCGTGGAAGATAATCTGGTTATGCGCAAAGGTACGCTTCTTGATGTCGATGACTTGCTTGATTCTATCGACGAAATGGACTGCAGAGATGGGCTGAGTGTAGTGATCTAGGAATCTCTGCGTGATATGCTCTTGAACTATTGGATGAAGACAGATCTTTTGGACCAGTRTCTCTTCTCGTAGGTTRTAGAAGAACTRGTAGATATCCTTGCTGTCTGCTTTGTCCTTAATTGGTTGATCAAGAGGTGTTGGCGTAAACATTGCGTTCATGCTTTCCTTGATCTTTTGGACACGATCAGAGGGATGCTTTCGTTTTGCCTTGCTGCTTGCGCCTTCTAAGTCTGCTCTAGTAGGTTTGATAGGGACCCGCTACCTCATAGCTGGTGTGACTACCCTGGTCCCTTGAGCAGGGACCCTAGCTCCGTGTGCATCTTGTTGTGGTGGAGGAGCAGCAACAATCACGCCTTCTAGAGGAACAACAACAGGAATGCGCAAAAGTGATGGATCAGCCACATTCACTGCTACCACTTCTTCTTCTTATCCACTTATTTGAGTAGTTATGTCCATGGCATATTCTGTTGATGAAGACAGAGCCAGGTTTGAATCAAATGATTCATAGACAGATAGAAGATTTATCACATCTTTGTTCTTTTGTTGCCCGGCTGGCTCTGCCTGAGATGTCATAGGGATCTTTCCTTTGCGAAGCGCCTCTGCATGTTCTGGCACTGGTTGGCTCTATGCCTTATGCCTTATGCCTTGAAGGATCTTGCTCTGGTTGGCATGGGGCAGAGGATGTTGGTGCAGAGGGGACAGCCGTAGGTGTAACACTTGGAATGGCTGTTGGATAATTCTCCCCCTCTTGACGATTTTGAGGACTAGACTAGTCTGGGTCCTCATCATTGTTAAGTCATCTCATGTTCGATGGCTTAGCACATGGAGAGGAGTCCATTCGTCTTTTCGGTCTCGACTCCTCTGCTTGAGGTATAGACTTGATATTTTCCTCGAAGACTTTGAGGAGATCTTYGACTGCAWCACCAACTCGTCGAATCTCGATGTACGACCGGTAGTTGAATGCGGCCAGAGAGTGTTTGATGGCCTCCGCTGCTTCTGTGGCTTTGTTGTTGAAATCGGATGTGAAGTTCGCCACCTTTTGTAGAAGTCTGTCACCAAGAGCATTCATTGCTCTCTGAGTGACATAGTCTACAGGTATGTTGAGAGGGATGATCGCCTGAGCRTCATGAGAAGTGGACRCCTYACCCCTCTGCATGAATGCTATGACCTCTTGTAAGGCCTCTGCATTTCGTGCCGTCAATTCCGTCAATGTATCGAGACGAGAAGCATTTGTCGAAGACTCAACTCTCAATGTTGCTAAAGATGCTCGTACCTCATYYAAAGCAGATATAGAAGGAGACGGCTSTGCATGGTCCATGATGAGTTTTAGCTCTTCCAAGGAGTACCGCAAARAGGTGACAAGAGAATGGAACTCTTCCCTTGTGACATATGCTGGTTGTGTGACCTCTGGCTYAACATATGGGCCAGATTGAGTCCCCGTTCCAGGGACACCTTCATTCACGACTTGGTTGATGTTGGTCGAGGAAGGATTTCYAGCAGATCCTCRTGGTTCACCTTGAGGAGAATTCATGACCGCTGYTCTATCAGGAAGAGTATCCAAGGCRGGTTCAGATCCAKCCAGAGRACATTCCATGAGTGGACAAGAAGGTTGGTCAAGAACTCCATGTCTTGTGCATCTATACCTTGCTTTAAACAAGGTGGGGAGTCTACACGTGCAGAGGAAAYGAATTCCTCTGTATRGSAAAGTGGCATGATATGGGGAGACATATCACTTATACGTTYAAAGGTTGCACCCTTTTGAGAGGGTGTTCCCTGAGGTGTGGCTTCCCTTTGGCTGTCATAACCAGAGGCAGATGCGACCTCTAGTTGGTTTGACTGGTTTGGATTCGAGGTGTGCACCTCTGTTTCAATGACCTCCGTGTCTCGACCACCGGATTCAGATAATTTGTTTGCATTGGGAAGTGGGGTGTCGAAACGGATGTGCCTATTAACCCTAGGCTACTCTAGCTCACCCTAAGGCAAAGCAGCTGTTGCACCTCCTCCCTCTTCATCTTCCTCATTCTCACTTTCTTCTTCCTCCTTACTCTCCTCTCCTCCTTCTTCCTCACTCTCTTCATCTTCTTTCTCACTCTCCTCGGTTGAAGTATAAGACCTAACAACATCGTCGAAGTGCTCTTGGTCATCCCCTTGGTTAGGACTAGAAGATTGTGCCAAGTTTCGACGAGCTTCTTCCTCTGCTCTGAGTCTGGCCTCTTCCCTTAGACGAGCAATCTCTGCCTGTCGACCTTTTTGTACTCGCTCTTCCTCTGCTCGTACATGAGCAAGTTCAGCCAATCTCTCTTGCTCTACTCTCTCGGCTTCTTCCTTTTTCTTCCTCTCCCTCTCTATTTTCTTTTTCTTTGCATCCTCTCTTTTTCTTTGTTTCTCCCTCTCTTGCTCTAATCTCACCGCCACTTCCTCTACTCGAGGCCGTAAGGTGTCCTCTATTCTCTCTTCCTCTTCGGTTGTTCCTATGTGTACTGGGGTTTAAGGCACTGGTTCTAGTGTCTCTCGTGTACGTTTGTACGCTCTCCTAATCTCCTTCGTCTTCATATACGCATTGAGCTTCTTTGGAATGGGCCTTTCTGCTGCGTAGCCCTCTTTGTTAAYGGTTGGCTTGTAGTGGGTGAGCATGTTTACTTTGTACACGGTATACGACCCACATCGATATTGTTGTTGTCAAGAACAGGCCTTAGGAGAAGACCCAAGAATCGCGGAAACAACAAATATGGTAATTGCTTCCCTTTGGCCACCTCTTGACATTTCTTGGCCACGACAGCCTTGAACTCCGTGTAGAGTATCAAGGTGTAATCCAGATTCAGATCAAAGAAGATACCATACAAGATCTGAAGGACGTTGGTGAGCACATGTCTAGGCTCCCAATCTTCCCTGTCAGCGATCTGTTTACCAATGTGAATAGAGTTTTCCACATTGGAAGTATGTATTGGTGGCGGTACTGAGATGGGTACTGGATAGCCTTGTTGTACCCCAAAAATTTCAAAAAGGCCACGATCTCATCCCCAGATGGGAGAGGGGCATATCCATCAAGCCCTAGGTCTGTTTTAGTGGGTATCTCAAGAATGCGGGAAAATAGAGACCTTGATATTCGAACACTTAACGAATTCCTTTGAAGATGAGATATAGAAATCTCCAACGATTCCTCTTTAAGAGTCAGTAATGGTGCAAGATTGCCAGGATTCTTGGATATACCAAGGTCATCCGTGTTTGTCAAAGCAGGGTTCAGAAAGTGGTTTTGGAGGATTTTATGATTGGGTGGTATTTTTGTCAAAATTTTCGACAGAAAGGTGGAGGGCATGGTTATTAGGTTTATTTGGAAGAGGAACCAAGTTTTGACTGGTTTCCTCAACGGTTTTTAGGGTTGTGGTGTGTGTTTGGGAATTTCTAGATTCTGAAGATGACATGTTTGCAGGTTCTTGGTAGAAAAAGAAGGGTTTGGAAGAAAAGCTAGGGTTTCAAGAATCGGTTCGTGATTCTTTAATGGGTGGAGAAAAGGATTAATAGGACTTACTTGACAAACAGGATGAAGTTTCGATTACTGAAAGGAGTTCCAGGAACTGGTTTGAAACCTTGTAGGAGGAACAATGGCGGTTTGGAGGTTGAAGACGACGAGTTCTTGTGAATTTMTTTGTAAGCGTAAAAAGRAAATTGGGGGTAAATAATTTKTTTAAATAGGAAAAATAAAAAGCACTCGAGTAATTRCGCCCCAATCGTCAGATTTAAAACTGAAGCAGTTTTTGTTTAGCCTGTGGGGRMKTGCCATGTGGACTGYCAGCTGCATGTGGCGCCTCCCGCGTTTGAAAAATTAAGCTCACAGGCGRTGACGCTTAGTTTAAATGACAGCTRTTAAAAATAATAAAAATAAAGAACCGTAYGCCTTCTTAATAAAATAATATAATTTTGAATTTTCAAAAAAATTGACAAATGTAAATACTCTGATTTGTGTAAAATATAGATTTTGAAAAGAACCAGAGTACTACATGAAGAAAAAGACAACATACCTCAAGATCTCATACAAAGACTTRTGATTGGTCTATACATGTCCTCTATAGAAAA